TTCAGCCTCCTCCGCTGGCTGCGGGAGAGCCGGCAGTCCAGGAAACTCATCCTGCTCATCGTCTTCATCGCCTTGCTCCTGGACAACATGCTGCTTACGGTAGTCGGTAGGTAGAGTGCGGGGTTGGGGCTGGTTTTGCTCCCTTTTGGGTTGTTTGTTAGGTTTTTTTTCCACCCCTCTCCCGATCTATAATCTCCAGTGGCAGATGTACTCCCTGAATGCATGATTAGTGCTCTCAGACTAAATATTTTTAAGCACTGATTTTTTTTTCCTGTTTTAAACACATTCTAGGTGTTGCAAATAGACAAAAAGTGGCGCTTTATTTCAATATTAGTTGCAGGATAAGGAATGGTATAAAAAGGTTTTCGTAATTCTTTTTCTTTCTGCTAAACGTCACTAATGCTTCACAGAACGACAGATAACAGTATTTTTAGCTCATCATCGTTTTTTCTCCTGTGGTCGCGCAACTGAAACAACAGGCTAGATAACACTGGAGATGCCTGTTTCCTCGAGATAGTCCCTCTTCCCCCCACGTTGGTTTTAAAATGATAGGTTAATAAGAAAACTATCTAACTGGGTTTTAAGAAAAGCACTTCTATGAGTTGGTTTGAGAAAATAATCAAAGTTTTGATCAAGGATGCAGCTTTTACTGGCGTCAGTGTCAGAGAGGCAAGATTTAAGAATCTACTCAAGTAAAATTCTTGAACACTTTTCAGTGCTAGTTCTGGAAGTCCTAGTATTCAAGTGTTTATATGAATTTAAAGAAAAAGGTTCAATGAAACCAGTGGTTCGTGGCTGTGCACACCCACACAAGTGCACATGCTTCTCTGGGAAGTGAATGAGGCTATGCAGAGCCAGCTCTTGGACGATGCTGCAGTGTCAGCTTCTCAGTCAGATTCCTGAATTTCTTGGGGGACTTCAGCTTAAAAGCTGATACCACAATGTAGACCTTAACTAAAAACATAGATATTTTTATCTAGTTGACTTTGAATTTTTTTTATGTAAGCAAACTTTCTTGTAAAGTTATTTAATTACTTATTTAGTAATATGTATGCTAGAAGGCCTAGAAATTATTATAGTTTGCAGACTTACTGAAAGAGTAGGCTTTTTCAGGAAGAAGTGCAAGGCAAGGAGGTGTGATTCTGTCCCTAATGTTAAGCTGAATGAACCTGACATCTGTTTCTACAAACTCTGAAATGCTAATTTCCGAGCTACATATTAATGCAATTAAGTTGCAGCTAAGATTCCAAAGAGTATCAAGAAAGTTCCTTCTGGAAGATATTTTCAACACAATTTTTTAAAAAATAATGAGATATGCAAACAAAATAATCAGAACACGTTAGTTCTGATTATTTACTATAGAAGTACTGTGTGTTTTTACCTTCTTAAGGATATGACTTATAAATATTTTTGTGGTTTATTCTAGAAATGCATTTTATTACACTTTTTATATTTTGATGTAATGGTAGTCTCAATGCTTTTCTCATCTTTCGCATTTCACAATCTAATCAATGGCTTTATGCAGTCACCCACAACAGAGACATGGGGTTTGATACTTTTTGTATTTTTCTTTCTGAACGATGTCTGTACAGAAAATCTTTTGTTTATGAAAACTGGCAAACAATAAAGACTACCATAAAAGAACTTTTTGTTTTAAACTGCCCTTCCTGAGTTATGGGTGTGGGGTTATTTTCACACAAGAAAATTTCTCTTTCATTTCTGTGTTTCCACCATTCAAAATCCTTGCTAATGTGCTCTGTAGGGAAGCCTCGTATTTCCTAGCCAATACTAAGCAAACAAGAAAATTCAGTGATTCCATTTACAAATAACCTGATAGTAAGATGCCAATATATTCTATTTGTTTTTCCAGTGCCAATAATTCCCAGTTACCTTTACAGCATCAAACATGAGAGAAATGCCACAGAAATCCAGACTACTAAACCTAATGTAGTCTCAACAACGATGGACAATTTTCAGAGCATCTTTTCCTACTATGATAACTCAACGATGGTTACTGGAAACGAATCTGATAAGACACAGCCCAGAGAGTTGCATCATACTCAGACAGAACAAATGACAGTAAATGTGACTCCTTCCCCGTCTGACTGCCCGAAGGAAGATAAGGACCTGCTGAATGAAAATGTTCAAGTCGGTCTCTTGTTTGCTTCAAAAGCAACAGTACAGCTAATCACCAACCCCTTCATAGGGCCGCTGACAAACAGGTACGTTACTTCTGCTGCATCGCTCAGATAGGATTTTATATTGATGTTTCAGTCCCATCTGGCATTTTGAACACAGCATTTTTAACTCAGTTGTGGCCCTGGCTTACTGGTCTTCTCACTTTATCTGGAGGAATAGTCTAGTGAAATATGTTTGGTGAATGCTTCTAAACACGTACGTCCTTTCCGAAATGAACCGGTAAACGGTGCATGAGCCATCTGATATGTTCAGTATCATACACTTTTCCTCCAGCTCCTGAGAGCTCAGGTTTTTAGAGAAACTTTTACTGAAATGGTGTTGAATAGTCTTTAGTACGGTTAATATGGGGCCAAAAGACACTGCAACATAGCACTGTGAATTGTTGATGTACCTGTTACACCTAACTTATGCAAACGTGGTATCGAAAACACAGGCAGGGTTCAGATCCCTCCCTTGGTCTTGTAGAGAAGTACAGGTCTTGGTGCGACCTGGTATTCAATGATTTGGAGTCTTCTGACTCTGAGGTAAGAATCAGTGGGAAATTCATGTGGACTTCAGTGAAAAATGAACAAGTGCCACACTTTGCCACCAAGTTCAGTGGATCACAGATTTCCATCAGTACATGACTAAGCCCAGCCTACAAATTGTTGTCTAAATGCTTGCCTATATATGATGTCTTGAACAAAATATGTTTCAATGGTACTCTACAGAAAATCTGTCTGAGCCAGGATCAAGGGTATAAGCACCAGTGTCAATGACTTACACACCTCTCTACAAATCCGAGCACTAATGATGTTTACACAGTGACTAAAAAGTGTTTATAATATCATTTAATGTTTTCAGGTTAGTAATTAATTTGATTTTGTTGCTAGCATTTGGTGTAACAGTTCCCCACAGAGGCAGCTGCAGTCCTTGGAAACAACATGAGATCAATCCAAATTGTATTTAGTCGAGTCACTAATTTTAATGTTTCTTATTTAAATTGTTTTTACCAAGGAGATTTTCTTCATTCAAGAAATAATATGCAGCAGAAGTTTATCCCTGTAAAACACTTCTGTTTAAGCAGTCAATGCCTATCATATGTGACAATACGCAAAACAACCAACACACTAGCACTTTGGGTTTTGAAGACAGAACTACCTTTATTACATTTTACAGCTCCTAAATATATTGTCTAAGTGTTGAATTTCAATCTAATAGAAGAGTAACCCACTCTTCTCTGCTTTTCTGATAGAAGAGAATGCCAACAAGTGGCAGTTCGACTCATGGTGTTATGAATTCAAAACCTGTACTCTATCTGTGGAACTGATCTACACACAAAAGCTTTAATGAGATAGTTTAATTTCTCCCCCTTTTCACCTTATCTCCTACTGCATACCACCTGCACAGGTAGAAGTATGGCATTGCAAAATTACTTTTCCACAAATATTGCTGCAAGTTGAGGAGGAAAGCAGATTTTTGTTACCTGGCTTTTCTGTATCGTTTTGTGAGGGTGTGATAGCTCATCCACAGGCAAATAATGTGACATCAAATAATATTTTTATAATAGTTCTTTAGGTATTCTTCTGGATTTTCCTAGACGTCTGAAGTCTTGCCTTGTTGATATTTACTTTTCTCTGTTAGCATCATCACTTCCACAACCTCTCAAAACAGGAGAAAGGCCATGATACGCTCCATGTCTTCGATGGCTTTTTCAGTAGCACGGTTATGTTGTACTATAGATACGATCTTTGCTCTTCTTTGGTAGACATCTGCCTAAGGAGGAAGGTGCGTGTCCCCACCAATGCCTCCCAGCGTGCCTGTGCATCTCAGGACTGGAGCCTGGTGCTGCCTGTGCCAAGGCACGAGGTAACACCTGTCCTCTGGAGCCAGCTGCTGGGACACACCTGACGTGTCCTTAGATTAGGCAACGGAGTGGCAGATGTTCTTGTAGCGTCGCATCATAAGATCACAGGATCACAGAATGGTTTGAGTTGGAAGGAACATTAAAGATCATCCAGTCCCAACCCCCTTGCCCTGGGCAGGGACACCTCCCACTAGACCAGGTTGCTCAAATCCCTGTCCAACCTGGCCTTGAGGACTTACAGAGAGGGAGCATTTCCCTTTGCTGTTAGAAGCCAAGTAGGCAGCACACTGGTGTGAACATCAGTGCTGTGAGCTATTTCCTCTTGGAAACAGCCTACAGGTTTTTGCATGGGGTTGAGCAACAGGTTTGCAAGCTCAGATGCCCAGCAAGTGCCAGAAGAAAAATCAGAGAGTGCATCATCCTTGTGTCCTGTGTGACAGACTCTTCTCTCATAGAGCAGAAATGAGGGCCTGAATGGTAAAGTGGCCTTAAATTAGATTTAAGGATTACTGGTTTTCTTTCATGCTTTATTTGTATCTTGGTATCAGAATCTGCCTTTCTTCTGAGAAATGTTTGGTGAGAAATATCAGTTAACACATTTATCAGTTAACTGTAGAAGTCGTCGGCAAAAAAAAAATCTTAGTTGACATTTCCTCATAACAACGTATATGAAAAAAAGCAGTGTGAAAATTGTAATCATTGCAAATGAAACAGAAAATATCTGGGTTACCATTATAAAGACTCTTCCTTACTACTGTTAAGCTGCCTAGTGATAATTGTTTTATGCTGTTACTGCTTTTGCAAAATTTCAGCAATATATCACAGCTTAAAGAGAATTGGTTGCTTACCTCAAGATTAGTGTACATGGTTTTTTAAGATGCCCAGTAAATTTGTTTTTCAAATAAGTGACACACTGCATTTGTGGTTTTTATTTTCCAGTCAAATACAGTTGTTTAAGAGTAATTTAGATTTTTAACCAGGTATGGAATTGTTACTGGCTTTCAGTAGGCAACGGCTCTGAGTGCTTGAGTTCGTACGGAATGCAACAGGATGTTCTATTCATATGAGTCTGTGCCAGTAATTACTTCGGTTTAGGTATTACGGGGGGTTTGTAGGCTATTTTCCCCTTTTTCTGTAACTACTGGAGGTATAGATTTTTAAAAATAAATTTCAAAATTGGTGTAATTCAAGAAGTAAATTGTGCTAAAAATATTTCTTTAAAGCCCCGCTCTTTTGGTAGAGTACTAGACAAAACACACAGTTGGCTCTGCCTAATCCTTTCCAGCGAAGAGAGTGGGCAAAAGGCTGTTGTGCTCTCTGTAGCTAACTGATACCCCCCCCCCTTTTTTTTTTTTCGAACTCTTACCAAGCTCTGTGAAGGAGGACATCCACTATAGCCAGTGGATGTCTCCCTTGTCATGTCTCTCTCTCTCTCTCAGTCTGAAAAAATATGTCATTTAGCTTTTTGCTTATCCAAGCCTCAAAAATCCTTTAAAAAAATAACAGTTTCATCATCATTTTTCCACCTGCCTGACTACAGCTTTGAACTTCTTTGCATGAGAGAGTCGATGTGACCGTGGTATGTGCATGAGCAACATACATGCCAGGAATGAAAAGAGAGAAGTAAAAAGCATTTGTAACTACTTTGTTAAAGTTCAGTTCCTGTGTAAGGCTTCCTTTCGGCGATTGAAATGCCCAGTTCTGCTGGTTGGACAAAGCCCCCCTGCCTACCCTGTGCTACAGCATGGAGTGTGGAGGTGCAGAACACGCGGAGCATGCTCCCTCTCCCAGCTGATCCTGCGTATTCTTCCTTACCTTCACACATGTTCAGCAGTTCATAACCCTGAGGGAAATATTATTCTTGCCATATGCCCTCCCTGATCTTCATGCAGTGAAGAAGACTGCCAGACTGCCAACCAGGACAGATTTGACAAGGGGTGCTTGCAGAGGTACCTCTGTAACAACAAGGTTGAAATAAGTGGATTTGCAGCACTGTAATTGATGGATAATTAGGCTCTAATCATCCACAGCTGCTAAGCTGGTCAGTGTAACCTTTATTTTACTGATGCACAGGATCCATCAATCAGTTGTCTTTTTGCAGGGTAACCTTGTTAATGGGTATAATCCTCCTCCAAACAGTCCTGCCATCTGGGGCCAAGGTGGGACTAAAATGGAGTAATGCAGGCATTCTCCAGCACTGGTAGCCTTTCCTCTGTGTCCTTCAACTGATGACTCCGCCTTTTTCAGAGGTCAGAAATACTTGTAGGAAGCACTTTTAGCTGCCTTGGTGAAACATGCTGGACTCTGCTTCAGGTTCTCTTGGAATTTTTTTGAAAGGAATGCCCAAGAGAATTACCTGCTTGGGTGTGGTAATAAGAAAAAAGGAGAGAGAAGACAGGCTGTAGTAGTCTCTGTTGTTACACACATGCGGGGGGAAAAAAATGTAGAGATAACTGTCATGGAGTATGCAGTGTCATAGCTGAGAAGTAGAGCTGCATATGCACAGGTTTCACATAGCAAGAACAAGAATGTCCAAGGACTAAGGGACAGAATCACTGAATAGTTGGCTGGCACAGGTAGTGCCTCGGCTTTTTGTGATTATTTGTGTTATGCAGTGCAATTGTTCTGCAGAAACTCTCAATCTGTGCTCTCTAATATCTGTCGAACAGATCAGGGAGTGCAGCTGCAGATTAGATGTTTCTGGTAGCACAACTGCCAACTAATTAGCACTGCTATTTCAGGCGAAGGCAGGGTTTGCTAAGATAATGCAGGACAGGACAATTTGCAAATCAAGCTAAATGTCAGATGGATGTGGGTAAGACTCCCCTGAGCAAGAACAACCACAACTTCTAGAGGTTCAGGAACTTTGTGCAAGGGCAGCACAGCAGGATTGTGCATCTCCAAATTGTGGGTGAAGCTCCAGGCTATTTTCAGCTTTTCAGATGATTATAATGACTTGTTCAATTCAGCAAAAATGCCTGTCCTGTGCTGACCCATGTACCTTTCAATCATCTTGTATGACAGATCACTAGTTCTGAAAAAATTAATTTCTGTGTGGAGGAAAAGGTGTGCTTTACACCTCAGTATGAGTGATAAAGCATCATGGTCTGCTGGGTAGCAAGAGTGAGACGTGAGTTCTGCTCCAGTTCTGCCTTCATCACCCTCTGCTACCTATCATTTCACACCTTGCTGTGATGTTGTTTGTCCAGGATTAAGGAAGAATATTGTCTGTGACTGCAAAGATTAAGAGCATTTCATTGAGCTTTAAAAGTGACTTCCAAAGTACTTGTTTTCTTACAGCCTTCAACCATCAGAAATTTTCCAAGTGTAGGAAGCCTGTTGGAAGAATTGAAATGGGTTTTAGCTTGACAGAATATCATTTAGAACTAATGTGACAGTCCTTCTCTTTGTTTAATTCATTAATGTTTATGGAATATCTCATCCCTCACATCTCTGATCTAGTGACAGAAACATGAATGTGGGAGACAATTTGGATGGCATTTGTCTTCATGCAAATAACTGAAGTTTATTTCAGTGTGCTTGGAGCAAATTGCTGCTCCAAATTGCTGATTTCTGTACTGAAAACAGACTTCTCCCTCGCAGGGTCAATCCTAGATACCTCTGCGATGGCCCTGACAGAAGCAGACACAAACCTACCTTACTTTGCAAAGAATAAGGCATAAGGGCACATTCAACTTTTGCTTTCATACCACAGAGAGAGATGGTGTCTCTCACCAGCAGCAGTAGCCACACCTCTAGGGCTTTTTTAAATCTCTGTAAGTTCTTTAATTGAAAAATTCGAAATCAAGGCAGTGATGGTCAATCTCTCTGTGGCCTGTTCTACCTCAGCCCGCTGGGAACGGAAGCGCACACTTCAGCTGCAAGGCAGATGAGAAGTTGGTAACAGGTAATTTTTTATTTCCTCGTGTACATAGCAACATCAGTGGAGATTAGCATCCCATTGCACAATACCTCCTGTGCAACAGAAATGTGTACCAGCTTAGAAAAATCATCCACTTTAAATAAGGCAGATAAATAAAGGTAGTATTACTTTCTTATAGGCCAGATATCAAGATGCTGAGAGATTAAAATGATTGTCATAAGGTCACAGAGGAAATCTGTGATAGTGCCAGGGATTTAATTTTCTTTGGAGATACCAACCCTGTTAAGTACCAGATGAGCAACTAGTCTCATATGATGTCCACTTACAAATTTCAGCTAGAAGAATCTGCACACTAGTTTTTTGTCATATTTTAATGTAGTGATGATATTGAAAGAAAAAATACTCTTCATTAGAGGTTTCTGTGGTGTGTAGCTATGTGCATGCTAGATTGTTTTCATTCACAAAACTGAGACAAATGTTACAGTGAGATATAATGAACATCAAGGCCTGTGCTTCAGAGAGTTTTCCTTTATCCAAGGTCCTTAAATGTATAAAAATAATATTTTTTAAAAAAAAACAAAGCTCAGAGTAATTATTTTGGTTTACCTATGTCATGACTGCTATTATTAAAAATTTAAAGGACCATTGTTGACTCTTCCATTCTTTGATTAACCTACTTCAGTCAATATTGCCAATACAAATGCCCAACACCCAACACTGACAGCTCCTTGGAAGTTAAAATCAATCAGGGCTCCTTTGAAAATCATCATCCATGACTGAAGAATTTGGCCATTAAACAGTGTCTTTGCAAATACATTTGAGATGCACAGTCTTACAGAAAAAAAAAGAGAAGCTATGAAAAAAGTGAGCTGGATAGAATATATAGACTCTCTTCAGGCTACCTGTGTAGTGATTTTGGTTCTAGGGTGGATTTTTAATGACATGAAAAATAGTACATTATAAAATTTTTTTTGTTGAAATTTCAGTTTTAGCTGCTTAAAAAATGCATTTGCTTTCCAGACAGAAAATTATTTCCTGGACATTTGAAATACTTAATAGCAATCAGGCATTTCTACAGGCTGTTTAGAGTCCTAATGAGGAAGCAGGCTGATGAAGAAAGCTTTGATCAGCTCCATTTTCATTCCTAAAACATGGAAAGCAAAAATATTATTCTCAGGCAGTTTGAGGTGCTTCTAGTGTTCTTGGCTGAGGCAGAATTCCCAATAAAGCTGTTGACAAATTTTTCCAGCAAAAAAGCCATTGATTTGACTGCGTCTCATTATAGTCATTGTCTCCTGACAGATGAGCATTGAAACACTGCCGAGGTATTTCAAAGTTGAGCATGCTCAGAGAAATCTTCTCTTCTCATATCCTTGGCAACCCCACGGAGGCCCAGAGGGACTTTCTAGGGAACAACTAATGGTGGAATGGGAACAGGGCAATCAGATGCTAATGAGAGAAGGATTTCTTCCAGGGATTTCACATACAAAGTCCGCTGTGCCAGATGAAAATGCATTTGTATCATGGACAAAGTTGATCATGTGGTTCACAATAAATAGTTCAAAGCCTCCCAAGGAACTAGAGGTTGGGTTTTTGCAGTGTGTCTGCTCACATGAGTAAGCCTAACTCAAAATATCAGTGAGACAGTCCCAGAAATGTGAATGTTCATTTTGTCTTCCAGAATAGGCTACCAGATTCCACTGTTTGCTGGCTTCTGCATCATGTTTGTGTCAACAATCAGTAAGTGTCCACATCTTATTTGGTCTGGTCCAGGTGTAACTTTTCAATAAATGATCTAAAATAAATCATCACTGGGAATTCTTGTTGATGTAGAGGGACTGATTTCCAAGGATACTTTAAGGGCAGCTGCTCCATATGAATGGTGGTGCTGATGAGATTTGACAATGAGTGTGCATCACCTTCCCTCCCACCTCAGCTGGTCTCCTTAGCTGGACTTTTCTCTCAAGTTCTTGTAATCTGAGGTGTTGCTCAGACAATTTTGAACTGATAGCCATGGGAAGGCTATTTCACAGTGCCCTTAACAACTAGCTACTGTAGGGGCTTATCAGAAAGAACGGGATGCTGCAGCGGCTCATGAGTAAAATATAAGTCAACAGTATCACAGCATTGCCAAACGTCTCTGTGGGATGTGCAAACAAAAGCATAGCCTGCAAGTCAGGTGAGACCATTTTTTCTGCTCTAAGTGACACTGATAAAGCCTGAGCTGGTGTTTTACAGTCAGTTTTGGCATGGCAAGTAGTGGCTCAAGCGGAAAGTACTGAGGAGAACATCATTAGGAGCCTGTGAAGAACAATGGAAGAACCAGGTTTGCGTCAGAAGGCAGGTGTAAGATGTATGGAAAAAACCAGGAAAGAAACAATTTCCCATGTCCACTGTATATAAGAGAAGGAATAACAAGCTTTAATCTGTGTCAATTTAGATTAGATATCAGGAAAATATTCCTAACAGCAAGAAGACAGAAGTGCCAGAGAAGAATACCTGTCCTAGAGTGCCTGACAGCTCTGGATTTTAGGAACATGTTAGACACACTTTGTTTGGGATACAGATAAAATAGTAATTCATGACAAAGGGGAGTACTGCTGGCATACTTTTTTCTTCTATCTTTTGCTGTCCCTGTGGATAGGGATTGTAGTAACGCGATGAAAAGCCCAAGAGGCACAATGCCACAGGGCACGTAGGAGAAGCACGTGTGGATCTTGTGTTTTGTTGGTGCGTGACAGCTTCCCCCAGCTATAACCTGTCTGGCAGAATTCCTTAGGTGGCCAAGAGGTAGGAGCTGAAAAAAGGTTTTTAAAGCCTCACTGTAGATTTAATGACACTGACCACGACATAGGCTCTACGAGCAGAGATGTGCTTGGTTTTGTGGGATGCTCCTACTTCCCAATGTTATGTATGGGGAATTTAGCTGGACTGAGGAGTGCCAGGGGCTCTGTCCCAAAAGGCAGAGTGGAGATAGGGGTTAAATCTCTTGGGGAGAGGTAGAGAGGCATGTCCTCAGGTGCAGATTTTCTGGTGCTCTGCTTGCTACAGCCCTTGAACAGCTGGAACTGGCTTCCTTGCATCTTCAGCCAGTGGTGCTGCGCATCATCCACTGCAGAGCTGGCAGCACCAAGGTAAAACCCTTCTCCACTCATTCATCTGTTGGAGGAGACATCGGAGGATGCGTGAATGCAGGGGTGGGGTTGTTAAATCCTGCTTTCCCCGAATGCTTGGAGCTTCAGACTGGGCAGCCTTAAATGAAGCACCACGGGGAGGCAGGGCTGGAAAGAAAGGTCTTATTATTCCTTCTGTGTGTAGCTGAATCAGAGCAGGATGTAATCAAATCTCAAGTAATTAGTTAAAACTGCTTGTGCATTTGGGTTCTGTGTTACCAGGAGGCTTAGACACTTGAGAGCAATTCAACACTGACACATCTAAATGCAATAAGAGAAAATAATGCAGTTAGCATTGAAAGTGGCACAAGTCACTGTAAACACTTCGCTGAATTGCATGAAGTTTTTGTGATAGTTTAAAGAAATCTAACTTTTTAAACTAGTTAGAGTTAACCTAATTTAAAAGATTTACTTCTGTTTTTTGTTCTGTAGTGTTTGCCTTCTCTGGAAGCTACACATTGCTGTTTATTGCCAGGTCCCTTCAAGGAGTGGGTTCCTCTTGTTCTTCGGTGGCAGGTAGGAAAAGAGATGACAGAGTAAAATACAGATCAGCAATTGGGTAATTTTTAATAACTTTCTGAATTGTATTTTGTGTGGAGTTTCAGTAATTAATATAAAAATCCTGAATTAAATAAATTTCACATTTTTTCTGTCTGTTTCATATCAAGTAACTCAAAGCAAATGTCTTCTCAGACTTCCTGGGTATTAGGGTGGTGGTAAGGTAAAGCACTAAATGAACTGCACTCTCCCTGGGATTTCCGTGTGTGCACCTTCAACATTTTAAATTCATTTTTAGCCATTGTAAAGGTCATCAGGAACTTATGTTGGTACTTTTTATTGTAGGGACAGCAGCTCTGTCTGTTACTGAAATTTCTGTTATAAAACATTGTTTTCAAGGACTTACTATGCTCTCTGCCAGGTTACCTGTACCAGGTTTCCCATATAAGGTTGTAAGTTTTAAATGAGTAGATGAAATAGAGGATGGGTTTTTGAGCCCAAATTGTTCAACCATTTCTGAGAGTGGAGAAAATATAATGTGTTAATGTTAGAACATTTCACAAGCTTTCCTTTCAAAAATTTCCTGTGATGGCAGCAGGGATATAAATTTGTGTGTCTTTTGACTTTGTCGGGAAAATTCCCCCTTCCAAGTTGGACTGCTATACAGGCAGGTTTCACATACACTCCAGAGAAACTCCTGGGTTCCTTTTGCAGGGGTTTTGCTGCAGCCCACATCTGGGCAGCACTGCCTGAGCCAGCTGCAGAGATGCAATGCCCTAAACTGAGCATTTGAGCTGGGAGTAAGAAGCATCGTGTGCTTAAGATGGGTTTGAAGCTGCACAACAAGCAGTGGTTAAGGAGAGAGATTTATGCCTGGATGAGCAGTTATTTTTCAGCTTTAACTCAGTCCCTGTGCAAGCATGCACCTTGAGATACAGCTGTCAGACAAGTCCGTGACTTTTTTTCACAGACAATCTACAAAACAGAGCAGAGGAGACCAAGAGATAGTCCAGCCCACCTCGTTCCTGAAGGCAGAATCAGCTTTGTATCTGTCATTTCTCATGCATGCTTGACAGGCATCTTCTCAGAAGCCTCCAGCAATGCCCTTAGCATCCAGCTTTGTGCTTAAGTACACTTACTGTCAGGAAGCTTTTTCTGATGTCTCATCTAAAGCTTCCTTGCTGTCACGTAAGCCATTTCTGCTTTCTGTACTTGAGAGAACATGAAGAACAGTTTCTTTTCTTTATCTTTGTTGAAAATATTTGTGGCTCTTTTTCATATTGCAAGGCTATTATCACATCTCGCATAATTTTCCTCTTCTATGGTTTTAAATTGAAATCCTGCAGTTGTCCCTCAGATATTTTCCGAAGCCTTTGCTCACCCTCATTGCTCTTCTCTGGATAGCTTCCAGTGACCCCCACTTTTCTTCCTGTGCTGCACCAAAACCAGACCCAGCACTCATAGAAGCTCTGACTCCTTAAAAGGAGCAACAGCAATAAGAGTCACTTCACATATCTCAAAGGCAAAGGAAACTTTCTATATTGTATTGCTGTCAATGATTTTTTTACCCTCCTGCATTTGTGCATGTGAACATTCCTACTTAAGTGTAAACCTTTGTGTTATCTCCTTTGTATCGCCTCCTATTATTTTTTCCCTGAGTATTTTTCCAGATCTCATAAATACATTGTGAGTTCTGATATTGTTCTCTAACTTGCTCTTCAACTGTTCAAGCAAACAATTTGAGGTCAACCACAATTTTCTAAGCGTGTTCATCTGCACAGGACCTCTGCTCTTTTGGTGCATGTGATGCATGATATTCACTTAATGATCAAACATGCAATATTTTGTTTTCTTATTTTGTTTCACTGTAGAGCTCTGGACTGTATTTACTGAGTCCTAGTCAAATCTTGATTTGAAAAGAAAATTATTAATTTCTATGAGGACTCTTCCACAGCATTTACCTCTACAGTGTCTGAATGCTTCAGAGAAAACACAAAGAAATTGGGCTTCATGTTTCCTTTTGTGAAATGAAGGCTTATCATCAAATGTGGAAGTGAGGCATGTGAAGACAAAGGTCAAAATAATCCTCTAATTTTGGACCCTGAACTTGAAATACTCATTTTCAAAGTAATGAAATGGGCTCATGCACAGCACTGACCACGTTTACAGGTGGGAGTGGTCCCCAGACCTTTGTCAAGTGCTCAGAATATAACTAACAGATGGTGGAACAAAGCTTTTCACAAGTATTCACCTAGTTGAAAAGCATCGTCCAAAAACTCTGTGAAAGAAAGACGGACAGGGACAAAGAATCTAGCAAATGAGAGTGTCATTAAATTACCTGAGTAATACTGTATGATAGAACCTCATTTTTCATTGTGCCTGTTCAGAAATTTTGATTGATTTATTTATTGATTTATTTATTTTAGGGATGGGTATGCTGGCCAGTGTATATACAGATGACGAAGAGAGAGGCAATGCAATGGGAATTGCACTAGGAGGCCTTGCCATGGGAGTATTAGGTCAGTGAGATGGAGGCTCTGCTGGTAAGAGAAACCACCCCCAATGCATGTACTTGTGATCTCTGAAAGCTGCAGAGAATCTCATCATGTGAAATGTTGCTATACTGTCTCTGGATTTGATACATGGTGCATGTTAAGAATAGTTTTTCCTGCAGCAGCACACTTCTTGCATGGATACATGAAGTCAGGGAATATTTTCTGTGATGTTTGGGGTTTGTTTACAGGCAAGAGTATTTTGGAAAGTGAAGAATATGGTTATTGTTACAGTCGATGAGTTTTGTGTTTAGGTGTACTTTTTAAAATGGAGCTTTTTGGTCACTGAGTGCCACTAGCAAGATGCCCAAAGCCTTGCAGAGGCTGTTTGTTCAGAACCGTGGCTTCACAACTGTGTCCTTTCTTTCTCGCTGGCAGTGGGCCCACCCTTTGGGAGTGTCATGTACGAGTTCGTGGGGAAGAGTTCTCCCTTCCTGGTGCTGGCAGCACTAGCTCTGTTAGATGGAGGTCAGTAACTATGAAGGGTCTGTATCACCAGGTAGCACATCCCTTTCGTATTACTACCACCGAACCCCCTTATTGAGGAAATGTTACAGTATTGATTTCTTTTCACAGCTGTTCAATTATTTGTTCTGCAGCCATCCAGAGCACAGGCAGAAGTAAGTATTAAGGTAAAACACTCTAGGCAACGGATGAGACTTTACCTTTCCTAATCCCAAGCTTTTGTTTCATAGAGTCAGAAGGGGACACCGCTACTGACACTTTTGAAGGACCCATATATCATTATTGCAGCAGGTACCAGATCCTTTTTTTTTTTTTTCTTTTTCTTTAGATCAACTATTGGTGTTATACCTGGTGTCCTGGAATGCCTCGGGCTGAGCTGGTTTAATGATATTGTCATTTGTTGGTTTCATTTACATAAAGCTCAAAGAACCTGTTGGTAATACGGGAGGAATATAGCAATAGAAACATAATAGGCAGAAAGTTTGAAATGTAGGTGTATTTCTGGCTGAGAGGACACTAATGACTTGTAGTTGCTTGCAAAAGCAATGAAATATGGCTGTGAAAGTTTCGGTGAGGCAAGTGAACAGGGCCAAGGAGTTTTGAGGAGGAGATTGCCAGCACATCGCAGGCACGTGTAGG